TCAAAGTTTACAATTTGTATAGACACCAAATATAAAATACTACACCTTTTTTCGAATAAAGATAAATATCGTAAAATTATGTTTTTGTAACATTATTACTTTTAACATACTTTATGGAAAGCATGGCATTTTGCCGTGCGTGATTGAATGTATCTGATATAGTATATGAAGAAGCGTGTTGCGCACGCAATTGCAATTATTACCTGCGACCATTCCCGTAATCTTGATAATATAATTAGATTATATTATTTTCTTGTTCTTTTTATCTCAGCAGAAGAGACAGTTATTCATGAAATTAACATTCCAAATTACAATAAAATATGATTATTAAGATTGCTTTAATAAACATTTCTTTCAACTTGTACTACGTTAAGTTGCAGTTGTTTCTACATTTAAAATAAGACAGATGAATCAATAAATGAATACTTTATTAGCTTCAGCTATCATTTGTACGTACATCATTTGTACAGACATTAGCGAAAAAGATAGAGGAAGGTGAGTGGTGGAGGAGGGGAAGACAAAAAAAGAAGATTTGAGCAGAAAAGGAAAACGGAGAACGAGGAGAGAAGGGGAGGGGGGAGAGAGAGGGACTGGAGGGGGAGTGAGAGAGAGAGAGAGAGAGAGAGAGGGGAGGAGGAGAAGAAAATGAAAGAGAGGGGACAAAGGGAAGGAAAGGGTAGAGAACAAAAGGAGGAGGGAGAGAAGAGAGAAAAGAAAAAATAAAAGGAGAAATTGGAAAAAAAAAACAGAAGTCTATTTGTTATCTACTAAAACAAGTCCAATAGTTATTTTACATTCTTTCCTTTATTTATATAGAAATTACGATAAAAGTTATTTCAGATTAAAATTAAAAAAATAATAACTAAAATAAATTGTACATAATTTTTTTATTATAGAATATCCTTTTTGTTCTTTTTCATTCTGTTTAACTTTTTATCACAGACTATTCTTATCTTTTATTGAAAGCGTGCGAGTGTTGTTGTTGAAGAAAATACAATTTGATGTAAAAATTTGGAACAAAATAAAACCACTTTACTATCCAAATCCTAAAAAATCTCTAATAAGGATGAATGATGCCTATTGATTAACAGTAGATAGTCAACAACAAAAAGATATCACCTAACAGATGATTTTCCTCCTTATAAGTCGATGATTAATAAACATAAGAATGCGATACAGAACTATAAAGGACTATAATGGTGGTACTTATAATGGCTGATTTAACTCTAGAATTTACTATATTTAGAATTTATTTATCTCATTCTGTCTTCTTGACAATTGCGCATTTTTGAACAGTATGCATTTATCGAATTGCCAAATCTATGTCATCGGTTTAGAAATTTTAAGAGGGTAGACAAACCTTGACAAGCGAAAAAATTGATGTTTCTTTTAAAATTAAATATTTAAAAAATAGGAAACTCTGAGTATTTAAAACTTTGGTACATGATTCTATATGTCTATATTCTTTTATGATTATTATAAAAAAAAATAATATTAATAATAACAGGAGCTATTGGTAATGAAGGGAAGCAGTTCAGTACCTGTAGATGGACATAAAATCTCGAAAACAGCTCCGATTTCTTTCAAAAATGTTTTACATGTTTGTTAGAAACATTATCTAAAATGTGTCAAAAGCAAAATTTGAAAAAATTTTAAAAAATATATTTTAGTTGCAAAAAAGTGCAAAATTACATGTTTTTTCAATAAAATTAAAAAAAGTTTTAAAATTTTGCTTTTAACATATTTTAGACACTTTTCTAGATTATGAATCCCCGTTTTTTTATTTTGTTTTAGATTTGTCGTTACTCCGAAATCGTCTACCACTGGCTATTGAATGGAAAGAACTTTCCCTTCATTACTAATAATTCCCGCTAATATTAATATTTTTTAATGATTTTTTTTTTATAATTATAACAGAATATAAAATTATGTGCCAAAGTTTCAAATCTCAATTCTTTATTTCTCAAATATTTAATTTAAGAAAAAGAGTATATATATTTTTGTTTGTCAAGGTTGTCTACCTCCTTAATGTATTATCGTTTTAAAGTATGATTTTAGGAAACAAACGTGTACAAACGTATACAAACAGACTTGAAACAACACCGACAACGTGTTATTAAAGAGTGAAAAAAACCAAAAGATTAATAGAGAGTGAACACCAAACGTTTTTTAAGCAGCAACTCATGACTGAAAATATCACGTTTCTTCTCTATATTACAATAATTGTACAAGAATACAAAAGTAAACACATATCATAGTGTGTCGATAAATCATCTCGATGACAATTTAAATATACCATTCAAATTGCGTCAAATTTCACGCAAACTCGATGCATTTTGTCGAAAGACATAATTTTAATCACTTATTATAATATATCGCCAATTATAGTGGCTTTGAATTTGAAATTCGTTTCAAAAACACTTCTGATATAACTTCATTACTGTAGCGCAAAAACGCAACATTTCCGGATGAGTTGCCACTTAAAAATTGTTTGTGATTAGTCACCCTCTATTAACCTTTACACATTATTGGTGTTGTTTCAAAACACTCTGTATATAAATATCAATGTCAAATTTAAAACTATTAGAAGAAGATATACTTTCAATGGTCATTTATCGGGGAGAGCATTCTTTGTAATCATCGGCGGTTCTGTTTATCCATTAAATATGCCTCCGATCGACCAAGCACGTCGCTTCGTCGTCGTAGGAACGATAGGATTGATAGGAAGCGTCTGCGACGTGACCGATGATGCTCCGCGAATCGAGAATTCGAAACACGACGTAACGAGAGCGCGAGATACGCGAATGGTAACGAATGCCGGTTCGAACAATGGAATTAGAGAGGAAAAAGAGAGCGACAGAGAAAAAGAGAGATACGGGAGAATGTCGTCCGACGTGGAGCAGCGCGTTAACCACACGCTTAGAGGTTACGTTTTACGAATAGTGATCGTTGTCGGAACTCACCTGTCGATTTCTCGATGAAATGCGAGTACCGCGTTCCGCGACAATAGACCGGAGACCGGGTAGCAAAATCGCGAAAAGGAGCCGATAAAACGACGGAAATTCAACAACACGATAACACGACACAACCACCTACATAAATCATAAAACAGACTGAGCCAAGTTCAGCAGTCAGCACTTGGCTCGTCGACGGTTTGTTCGCTAGATGTCTCGCAGAGAGTATGCACCGCTGCCGTCATCTGCCAGCCGTCAGCGATAAGCCGATATAGATATCGCGATAGATATTGCGAATTGCAGCGGGACAGACGGGACTTTTGAATAAGTGTTCTCCATAGTAAGACCCTGCGCACAATGCACATATTAGAAATAAGAATAAATATTAAATGTTAAGAAACGAAATTAGAAATAATAATTAAACGTAAAGCATAATGGAAAAGAATAAAATATAAGATATAAATATATAGGAGCATTCCTACATTTCTATATTCTAATATTTAATATTTATTACAGGATTATTTATTACATTAACCCTATAAGCGCGTAATATTATTTAATATTAAGTAATATTTTAGGCGTAATCTTAGAACATTAAATACAATATTCTAGTAATATTAATAAATGGATATATGTCTCCTTAAATTCAACTGTGATTGAACAATTTCTTAAGGCTTAGTTAGCTTTATATGCGATCAAAATTATGGATCTTTGATCGCGTATAAAGCTGGGTCTAATCAACCAAAT